TCCAGATGGGAAGGCCACCCAGGAGGCATCTTGCCCCCGAACCAATCTAACTCTTAACTAGTTTCTCAGCCGCACAACAAGCACGCGGAGACCACAGGTCTGGTGGGCAGATGTAGCCGGAGCTGACAGCAACTGGAAACAAGAGACTAGGTTGGTCTGTTTTATGTAAGGGTCAGGAAAACCAGGGACTGAAGTACAGAGGAAGCTGCTTTGATGGAGGATGTCAGCTGTGCCAGGAGCTCGGCGAGCACGCTGGTTTGCTTGAGGCTTGCGTGCACCACGGAAGGGAATAACTTCCCTTTGGGGTTGTTTTTCCTGCAGCGAGGAGAGGCTGGGAGGAGCAGGGAGCGAGCCCATGCTCTGGGGCTGGAGCTGCTCCCTGGCAGGGTGCGGCCGTGTCTTACGCCGCTTGTTTTCAGTGCTGATTCCCAGCTGCTGCAGATGTGTCTGCAGGAAGGCGGTGGCAAACCAAGGAGGTTTTTATCCCCTTAGCCAAGAAGTGTGTAGTCGACTTCGAGGTATTGCACGTGTCATAGCTGTAATGCTTATCATCCTAGATTGCCTTAGTGCCACCTTTAAAAGGATGGGAGGGATAATATCTGAGAACAAGTCCAGGCACCTGTAATAAGCTGCTTCAGAGCAGTGAGGTCTCACACTATTTTCATCAATTGCTATTTGGCTTCAGAGCAAGAAATGTTTTTTTCCCCCTTTATGGCTCTGAATGACCTTTTAAGAGATGCCTTACATGAAGTGAGTGTTGCACCATTGCTGGAAGTGTTTGGTCTGCACTTGCAGTGCTGAGGGCATCACCCAAAAGTGCCCTTACCGGGGCATATACATCATTTGTTGACTTCCTCTTGGCTGAAAACTGGTACTGAAGTCATGAGCTCTTAAAACTCCTTATATTCCTAGGCTTTCTGAAACATAGTGCTCTGTAGGTRTGTAGATTATTTACCTTGTATGTGTGCTTGTAGGAATACTGGACTTGTTTTAGCTGTAGATAAACAATTATGTACATCTAATTATACTTTGTATTTAAAAAAGCAGTGTCACAGAACTTTATTAAAAAGCCAGCTCGATGAGGCTTTGCCTGTGCCCGTCTGGTGGAAGAAAACAGCAATGTGTGCCTAGGAAATGGCGGGGAAATGTTACTGCCCCTCTATCCCCCCTGCCGCCTAAAGAGGGAAGCTCCAAGGCGAGCACCCCTTCCCTTCCCGAGCGCTTCCCTCAGCGCCGTGGGGCCTTCTGGCAACACGAGGTGGCCATGAAAGCCCGGAAGCTTCGGGAGAAGAACATGGCGTGAAGCTTGAGCACCACCAGGGAGGCCTCTGGCCTTGTGGCACCTCTGACTAGGCCTTGCCGCCATGTCGCGTGAGGAGGAGCTGAACCCGCGTGTGCCCAGCACCGACTGGGGTGACGGGGAACCAAGTTCCGTCCTGGGGTGCTATGTGAGACATTTAAAGACTCCTTCCCTGAGAGAGGAAACAAATGCAAGGGAGCTTGTGCCCCCATTACTCCTTTTTGTAATTAACTTCTGGATTCTGTCATAACCGCATAATGAAGTTATATGAATCAACAGTAGAAAAGGCAAGGAGTCAGGAGGTCTGTTAATCTTCTATCATCTGCCAGCTGTCCAGTGAAAACACTCTTTTGTGTGGTGTTAGGAGGTCTGGATTAGTCATTTAGCACCTGCAGGCAAAAATGTAGCACAAGAACATGTGAAAATCATTAGAGCAAAACTGTCCTGACGTCTGTGATTAGAAAATGCAGACAGCATAAGAATGGAATTAGATGGGTTCAGCTGTAGCTTGCATGTCTTTTAAAGTATGCAGCTGACATGATTCACACCAACAATTAAGCAAGTAGCAAATACTTAAGGGGCACTTGCCTGCTCTGAGTTTGGATCCATGGAGTGATAGCTCTGTCCTAAGTAGTTTCTGTCCTAAATAGTTTCATAGACTAACTAGGCATGTTTGCGCTATTTAAAAAGCGTTGTCTGAAGTTCCTTGGCAGTTTTAAGTGATCCCGTATAGCACACTGATAACCTGGAAGCTGAAGTAAATCGTAATTTAAAAACAAACACGCAAGACAACCTTACTACTTCATGCCTTTAGCATATAAGGTGCTCTCATTTTTGAAGTAGGCATCATGCAAACTTTTGAATAAGCTTCAGAGAACACATAGGACACAGCTAGAAATTCCATCATAAGTAATCTAGATACAATAGAGAATGCCTTTAATTTGTCACTTAGTTTTTAAAAATGTCAACACCAATTTGGTGTTTAAACAGAAACAAACTTTTTTATAATCAAACCATAATTTCTGGAGTTTAAATTCCATGTTTAAATAATTCCATCCCAGTGCTTAAATAATTTACACATTAAATGAGTAAAGTTTGAAGCCTTTTTTGTTTGTTTGCTTCCTTTGTTTTATCTTTGAAACCCTTAGAATGGCAGTTTGTAACAGAAATGTACATCTTGGGTTCTAATTAGAGCAAAGTACGTGCAAAGTAATTAGACTAGCAGATGAGTGTCTTTTYTTTGTATGTAAAAATAACATCAATAAAAGCTTTCACTCCAGTATTTTTCATAAAATGCCCAATATAACTATTAAATTAGACAAACCCTACTGTATCTAGCTTATAAAACATAACAGTTGGWTACTGATAATTAGCTAAAACAATTAGGACTTATAATTGGAATTAGACAACTTGGCTTTGTTGGATGATGTAGTTTAACACTTTACATTCTTTTAAATGAGGAAAAAAATGTGACTTCCATTCTCAAGTCAAATTATCTCTTTCTGATAACTAATCTCTTACAGAAAAATAAACATGTCTGAGGAAAATTGATCGTTTAACCTGCAGATATCCTTGCTGTCTTAGCTCACAAACATTCTGTGGATTTTCTCTTGGAATTTTGAAGAAATTCAGAAGTTCAGAATATTATATGGTGTATCTTGTTGCTTAATTCTGGATAATAAACTGCGATAGAGGTTTTAAGAGTTACCACTAATACAGTACACTTGTGTTTTCTAACTTTGTAGACCACTAAAGCATTTCTCCCCAAGATGCTGGAAATGAATCATGGACACATCGTAACAGTTGCAAGTTCCCTGGGATTGTTCAGTACTGCTGGAGTAGAGGTTTGTTCAGTCTATAATTAGTAACTAATAGTGCATTTTATGCTTAGGATAAGCTTTTGTGTGTGTGTGTGCTGGAAAAAAAAATAAAGGCAAATCTTCAAAGCTTGCAAAGGTGCTTGGAAGTTAAGGTGCATAGCATATCACCAGACTACTACCTATGGATGGCATCCACAGAACGCAGACAGCTGCCTTATTTATATACTTTGTAGGTGAACTTGCCACTCAATGTAAAAACCTTGGACAGCTACAGAATTAGCAAAATGCTATATGACCTTTGAATTACTTAGTAACTTCTAAGAACTTGAAAAATGCCCACCTATTCCTGTCAAGAGCTTTCAAGAGCTTTAGGCTTGAAGCCAAAAGGCAGGATTTTGGAGAATATTGAATGTGTTTCCTACCTCTGTGAGGAAATGGCTGACTGCCTTCCTTCCATAATATATGGCTCAGCTCCTTCACTAGGCTGTAGACATTGGGTCATCTAGTTGCTGGCAGTTCTCGGACATGGAATTATTTTTAAAAATACATCAGACATACATTTTGGAACATCAGTCTTGTGTGGTTTGTTTGATACGTAAAGCTAGGTTAGGATTAGGATTTTTTTTTTTTTTTTTTTGGAGGGGGAGGTGTTTTTAGTATAAATCCAAGTGTATTGAAAGCATTTGCTTAATGAAAATGAATCCAAGTGTCTAATGGACTAGTGGTCATACTGCCCCATAAAGTATGGGCTTCTTCAGACTGAGCCTAGGCTGTGTGCTGTKGCTCAAATTATATTTAGGATGAGCAGTGTTGTTCTTCAACAGAAATGATTTAAACTGGTGGAAGCCTGAGGCTTTTTAGAGGGTTTACAGTCTTCAGAAAGCTATAAAGAAAGCTATAAAGAATTTCCTAGACTGTATGAGCACCAGCAGAGGTAGTGGCGCATCCAACTCAAAACTTGCATGTTTCTGCTATCTATCCAATTATTTTCAAATTTTGTTCAGTTTAATGCTTGTATAAGACAGGCAAAGTATAGCTGCTGAAAACTAAGTAATATGCTCCACTCTCCATCATGCCTTATGTTGAAACTAATATTAAAAATAAGGAATATAAGATTATTGCACCTAATTTGCTAGATAGTATTAGGTATCTCAGTCCTTTTGTTCTAACACTTAAATTTAAACAGGCTGGTAATCAGAGCACCTTGCTGTATGAGCCTGCCTGATTCAAAGACCTGAATCCAAGGTCATCTCTTCCTACATTCAACTTTTCTGCTTTCAAGAGTCTGTGTTAATTGCCTTAGAAGTGCAGTGATAAATGAGCTGATGTGATTCTATGTTTAGTGGGTGTCATCTGTTGTGCTTTGAAACTCTGTGGAGAATTACATGAGCTATGCCTTAGCTTTGAACATAATTCATAGCTATTCTGTTTAAGTAATTTTTTTTTTTTCTTTTTGCCTAATTCATTGCCAACATAGGATTATTGTGCCAGCAAATTTGGAGCTGTAGGTTTCCATGAATCCTTGAGCCATGAATTGAAAGCTGCTGAAAAAGATGGAATCAAGACAACTTTAGTCTGTCCTTATCTAGTAGATACAGGAATGTTCAGAGGCTGCAGGATCAGGTAAGTTAATCTCCTCATCTGCTCTGTGTTTGTAGTGTCTTKAAAAATACTTGAAGTTTACTAAACATTTGCAGCTGGAATTAGGAACATCAGGTCATTGTTTTAGTGGACTAGATACCTGCTTAAACTGTTACCATAAAAATATCAGTGTATAATTATCTCTGCTTTTCTAAATCGAGCGAATTTCATCTGTTCTRTTGTAGACATAAGAAAAAAAAACTTAGGTTGCTTTTATTCATTGTAATTGAACAGCAAATACAAAAAAAAAAAGGAAGTCTTTGTCCCTATGCAGGAATTCCAAAGCAAATGAATTAATGAAGYCTTGAGTGATTGAGCCTGCAGCATTTATGCATTTTATTAATCTCCCTAACATCCCATCTTTCAGAAAAGAAATAGAGCCTTTCCTTCCACCTCTGAAGCCAGAGTACTGTGTGAAGCAGGCGATGAGAGCAATCCTCACAGACCAGCCGATGATCTGCACGCCTCGCCTCATGTACATGGTGACCTTCATGAAGAGGTAACACCTGAAGGGCCACAGTACTTGCCTGTATGACCTACTGTGAGGGTGACAGAACCCTGGAACAGGCTGCCCAAGGAGGCTGTGGAGTCTCCTTCTCTGGAGGCTGCCTGGATGCCGCCCTGTGCCCCATGCTCTGGGTGTCCCTGCTGGAGCAGGGAGTTGGACTAGATGATGTCTAGAGGTCCTGTCCAACCTTAACCATTCTGTGATTCTGTAAAAGAAAGAGTTATGTCCACTTTTTGGATAGAAACATTCTCCCACCTGCACAAAGGCAATCTCCCAGCGCAGTTTGTCAGAATTCCCAAGACTCATCCTTGGCTTGCAGGAACTTTCTTGGTTGCTTTCTCAATTACAAACATCACAAAAGCAGGAACCTGGGTATTAAGCATCCAGTTTTGCCCTTTTGTCATGTTCCATCTTTAGATTTCTCTTCTCCTTTCAACAGCATCATAGGCTGCAGGAATTTCCCATTGTTCCTCTTGCATTTGGTGGCTCGTTCCTCAGGAGCAGGCTCCGAGGAAGCTTCCTGCAAAGAAGCTTCTAGCAGGTTGTCTCCAGAACCAGTGTATAGGAAGCCCTGGYTGCAGACCCTAGGAACTGTGTGGATATGAATGGGAAAAATCTGTACATTCAGAACTAATGGTCAGATTCTACATCTGTAGGAAGGACTATTTAATAGGAATATTTCTATTAAAGAAATATCACCTCCTTGTTTTAACACRCAACAGGCTTTGCATGGGAGCTCTGCTTAATCCATAGCCATGCTGCCATTCCAGTGGTGCAGAAAGCAGCAGAGCTCTTCCTAGCAGTTAATTATTGGGAACTGGCTCATTTGTGTTGATGCCACATCCTTTGCCTCCTGTATTTTAGGAAGCAGCTACACTGCATAGCTGGGAGCCCTGGGCATTTCTGTTTCATGCACAGCTCAGCGCTCCTGCTATGCCTCAAGTCCACCATGGTGGACGGGGTCACCAAMGGCTTGAGCCTTGACTGTCACCTCTTTCCTGGGAGAGAGTCTTTGCTGGCAACAAGCAGAGGGCCCTCTSAGCAGCTTAGGAGCGAACATCTCCAACGGGGAGCTCCGTGTGCCCTGTGCCCGCAGTACCTTACGCAGCAGCAGGCAGATCCAAGGCCCTCGGGCTGGCTGTGCTGCRTTCAGCGCTGCCGTTCCTGACCCGTGGGAGCTGAAAGCTGCCGCCTCATCCGTGCCCCAGGCACCAGCAGCTGCATCAAAGGCCTTCCAGRGGCTGCTGCACAAGCAGTGCTGCTGACAGCAGCAACACCTGCACCAGCAGCAGCCACTTCCCAGTGCTCCAGTGCTCCTTGCTCCTCCTGGTCGGATTCTGCACATTGGTTTCTGCTAAATGAGTGTCTGTGCTCCAGGCACTTAAAGCATCATCCCATTTTACTCGGTCACTACAGCTCCTGAGAACTGCCCTTGAAATAAAATAGTACTTTGTGGCTGCAGGAAAGATGAGAGGGTCTGTAGCCAGGTGTTCATCCCATAGCCACTTCTTGGACGTTTATTTGGGGAGAAAAGGAAACTGCTCCCCTTATTTCAGACCTGTCTTTCTGAAGCTGGATGATTGAGGTCACAATATAAGTCAAGGTGGGTAGACATCAGGTGGTCAAGCAAGGACATTAACTAACACTAATCCCAAAGTAAAGAACATCTTAAATGCCTGATGCCTCCTGCTGCTCTGAGCAGCAGCTTTGCTCTTGTAGGTCCCTGTGATACCCTTGCCCTAACGTCTTTAAAGGTAGCTCTCATGGAGCTCGTGAAGAAGCAGCAGAGCTCCTGATCTGAGCTGGAGGCACCTGAATAAGCACCTTCCCCTTCCCCTTCCCCMCTTTATGGTGGTGCCTGTCGGGAATTTCTGCCTTCTCTGTAAATGTCTCTGTGAAATAAAAAAAAATCTTCAATCCTTCTTGGGAAGCCTTACGAGAGTTAACATGTTCCTTTTAAGGAGACTATTGATATAATAAGATTTTTCTGTTTGTTTGGTCATCTCCTAATAACTTTGTAACTTGTTTTCCCGCAGTATTCTGCCATTTGAAGCTGTGGTATGCATGTATCGGTTTCTGGGAGCAGACAAGTGTATGTACCCCTTCATTGCCCAAAGGAAGCAGGCTACGAACAACAACGAAGCCAAAAATGGAATTTAACCCTGGTTTGGATGGACTCACGCTGATAGGGGGAACACGATGATGTTACGTGACTGAATTGTGAAGTGCACTTGCATCTAATGGATGCAAATGTCACCCTCTTACTGTGGCATTCGCTTGGATCTTAAACCTGTGTATCGAACTCTTAAAAAAATCATTTTTTTTTATATACTGTAAATAAAACTGACTAGAGTACTTGGAGAATGTGCTAGGTAAGCAGAGTGGATTCATGCTGTAGTGCCACCGTTGTCCTTTAGAATATGACTGTATGTATAGGAAGCTGCTCGTAGGGATGCGCCGCGTGGTGTSTCCTGCTCAGCCTGCCCCGGATGGAGGAGGTGTCTGCAACCACCAAGCACCGTGTTGCAGAAGCCATTCCCTTTCCCTACGGAATTGGGAAGCGGGGAGGGAGGGAAATCGGGATGCAGGCTACTGCTCGTGGCCTTTCAGCAAATTCAAGGACAGATTAGGAATGCATCTCTTAGCTCGGTAAGCCAAGCTCTAAAGGACACGTGGCCAAATTGTGGTGTCATTCTCTTCTGTAGCAATTGTGTGTGCTCTATTTAAACAGAGATAAAAGGAAAATTGTAAATCTCTGCCAATTCAAAGGCAAGCGAACGTCTCCGAGCAAAGTTGTGCTGGGCATCTGGTTTTCTGGGAATGCAGTCAGTGATTTAAACTGACCTGTTTCCAAGTCGCTTGATTAGAAGTATGCTCTGTTCTGTTCCCCTCTCTGCTCGTCAGCCCTCTCTGCCCTCACGGGCTGCGTTTTGTTTCTTCCTCCCTATTCCCGCTTCCGACAGTTCCCCCCCACCCCCCGAGGAAGCTGTTGCATTAAATGTCTGTAGCTGGACTTGTGCCTAAAAGACAGAGCAGCTCAGCTGAGATGCAAACTTTTCTGTAAGTGCTTGGTCCTATGCCAACATTTAGCAAAGGAGAAATAAAACAAGGCCTGATGCAACTTTACATGTGGAATATTGGAAGGGTGTAAAGACTTTCTGTTGAGTTCTACTTGCGTTGTAGAACAGCAAATAACGTTTTTTTACAGTATTTTTTGTAAAGCGAACAACTTTGTGCCTTGAATTTGGTAACCTGTATTAGTGAAACATTGTAAAGGTGAACTTCTACCTCTGTATCTTAACGTATACCATCCACTTGTAAACTACTATTGGACAAACTATGTGATTACTTTTTTTTTAGAATGTCTTAGTAAATAGTGACCAATGCCTGTGGTTATTAAAGTGAGCCACCTTTTCCTTAAAACGAAGATTGGGATGTTTCCTTGAAAGACCAAATTAATTGCAACTRTTTGTGTCTGCTCTCCAGTGCTTTAGTATCAACACAGTTCACATATTTATGACCAAGTTCCTGTGGCCGGGGCAGCCCCTCAAGTAAGTACCTGTGTAGCTAGACTTTTGGAACTGACAGCCACTATTTAATTTCTCAATTCATTGATGAAGTAACTCGTCRCAGAGCATCACAGAGGATTCATTTTGTTTCCACTGCTTCGATTAGGTCAAGGTAACCTAGCATGGATGCCATTTTAATGGATGAAAAAGCAAATGCAATTTTAATAGAATTGCGGTTATTACCGTATAAAATACTCTCAGTATCTGTATGGAGAATAGTATTGTTAGTTAAGCGTGCTTAGCTGTTCATCTAAGGTAGAAGCTCCCTCAAGCCGTAACTCGGACTTCCACGTTCTGATTAGTTTGGCCCTGGGGATGTCATTAATTCTACGTTCTCCATAGCACTGTCACTGAGAGCAAGTGCAGCTTTCACTACCATACCTGCCACCACTCTCGTGCTCTTTCCCCCCTAAAATGCCTCTCTCTATTGCCTCTTGCTTCTGCCGACGGAGCTGCTTTCACTCAGGCTCTTRCGTTGAATTGAGTCCTTGGCTCACGCGGTGCCTGAGAGCAGCAGCGGGATGAGCATTGTCCATCCAGGAGCACTTTGTGCTGACACTCTGGTTTCCTCCTTCCCAGGAGCGAGGGAGGAAACGGAGATGTGGGGCTGGCAGGATGATTTCCCCCTCAACTGTCAGATAACCCCACGTTGCTGTAACCAGCATGTAACAGAGAGCTCCTGTGGAAACTGAGTAATAATTAAGAAACCAAGTAAGTAATTAAGTAGGAACTCCAGGAACGAGTGCGCTTCCTCCGACTCCAGTGAGTCCTTCAGTTGTGTACCTGCATGAGCATTAGCTGCCTTTGGAGCGCAGCAGCTGGCTGCTTCTCTCTCCTCAGAAGCTGTTGGGATGACTTGTTCACACAGCTCCATCCAYGGCTGGTCAGAGGAATTTGTAGTGAGGAAATTTGCATGTGTTCCTTCTAAATCAACACTCTTGGAAGCAGATAAAGCTCCTCTCGCCGGACTGGGACTGTTTTCTCGTGTGTTTGTGCAGGGGCAGGTGCTGCAGCGTAACGGGTACAGCAGCAGTGTGCTCACAGCTAGGCTTATAGCTTGCTCGTACTGCTCACGGGCTTGTCCTGGGTTGCTCCTGAAAAAGTGTCTGTACAAGTATCTCCTTGGGAAAAGGGAAGCCTAGCTCCTGCCTGGTGGACGTGCTATGGAGGCAAATGTACWTCTCTTACTAGCTTGCCCATGCAGGACGCAAGTGTAAAGCAGTCTGACTGCACATCTTGGAAAGCACTAGTCCCTTATTGRGCTGGTCCAAGGGGCTGTAGGGCTGAATTCCTCTCAAGGAACATTTCACAGCACCAGAGGGGCCTGTCGGCTTAGACTTCTTGTCAATCCACCTGACAGAAGCATCTCTGAAATCTGAGTTGTTCTCAAAGTTAGTGTTCCCTTCCTCAGCCTTTAAAATGAATTGAGGTTTGCCGGGTGCCTAAGCTGGGTATACCCAAGCAACTGTAGTGGGATCAGCCAAACCTGAGCTTTAAAGGTTTTTGTCTTAGCAATTGTCAGAGCACGTATGTGTTGTTTACTGTATGTATGCATTTAGTTGCAGCTTGGAGCACCTCAGTGAGATGCCTGATACAGTAAAAAATGTTCCTTCCCTCCAGGCCCTGCACGGCCTGTTCGGGAGCTGTGCATGGAGCAGCAGATACCCAGGCAGTGCATAACTTAGTCACTATGGTCCAGGGAAGCGAGGTGAGCTCAGCAGGAGCAATGATATCCTTGTGCTTCATAATGAATACGGAATTCAGGGGGATCATCACAGCCCATCGGAGTTCCTGCGCACCCGCGACCGCCGAGGCTTGTCTTCACAAGGGAAAAATTCTGAGAAATCAAAGCTGTTGTATTCAACGCACAGAAATGAGAGGATTAAGCACAAACCACTGCTATGCTAAAACCGGGCATCTGCACCATGGTTTAGTGCATATGAATGCATTAATTTATCCCCTGTAGTTGATTCCTATTTTTTCTCTGAGTAGGCAAATCCTAGGCATCTGTTCAACAAAATTAGAGGATCATAGAACAAAACCAGCTAATTCATTAACTACTTAGGCTTTAAGTCTGCTTCAGTCCAATAATGCTTTAAAACAAAGTTTTCCAAATATGTAAACTTGGGTTCCTGGGTAAGTTTCAAATTGCTGCCAAGTTCATAGTGCAGAAACAGGAAACAAAATCAGCCCTAAACCTGGTTCCTTCATCAACAAGTTCTATTTGACTCCCTCTTTTTGGGGCTGTGAGCTGAGCTTATCTCCATTACAGACAGTTTTGCCATGAAATTACTAATGTTAAATTCCAGGTGTTTAGTCAGCTGCTCTCCTTCCTTGCAGAAAAGCTGGAAAGTCTAGGGACAGTCCCTGATAAACCAGAAATGCAGTTACATTAAATACATATATACTAATTAGCTTGACAWGCTTCAGCTTGGCCGTTAAATGCTGATGTATGTAGCTATGGAAAGCATGGCTTTATCACGCCATCAAAGAAACGAACAAATTCATACTAATTTAATTTAAACACAGCATAAGTGGACAACCCAAATATTTAAAATAACTTCAGAAGTAACATTCCAGCTTGCACACTTATCTATCTGCCTAATGCAGATAATACACAAATRATTCATTTCTGCCACAAAGCAAAAAAGCTTTTGAGCTCGAAGATGAATGTGCAGAAGTCGGGATCAAGTGTGTGCAAGTCAGATGAGCAGGATGTTTGTTTCCCTTTTCCTAAACATGGCAGTCCCAACTCACAGCCGAGGAGCTGCAAAGGGATTAAAAACCTCAAGCCTTTATACACAGTCCTGTCCATGCAGCCTGACCAAAGTGTCTTCTGATGGAAGTGCCCGTTCAGACTGAAAACAGCCCAGCCACCAATCTGCCTGGCCCAGTGTCTGTGGCACTTGGACATGCCACTGTGCACCCTCATATTTTGTAACAAGCCTAAGCTGGGTTTAATTTAAGCAAGAACAAGGCTCTGGAGTAAGAAGCACTAGGATGTTTGGGATGATCCAGGACAGCTCGATTGCCTCACCTACTCCCAGCTATGTAACTGTCCCATCTAAACAAGCCCACAGGAGGTAATTACAGACCTACATCAGGACACAGCCACTTGAGCAATGGATAAGCAAAGGTAGCTTAGGCACATTCTGTTTTCTCTCCAGACAGGAACATCTTCAGCGAGTGTTTAGAACAAACCTCACTTGATACAAGGGAGGACTTGACCAACACTGGTAGTTTGTGTCCAGGCGGAAGTGTGCCAGGATCGTGACGGTGTTAGGTGTTTAAGATGCACCCCTGACTCTCGGGAAGGACAGGTCCAGGAATATTGACCTTTCCAGCTTTTTCTGAAAGGAAAACCTGACTAGTTAATCCTCTCCCATGCAAGGCTAGCAAAAATTCTTGAGGAAGAGAAAGAAAGGGTGGAGTTAAGGTCTCCTAAGTACCCCAAAATTAAGTTGGTGTYGGTGTCAAAGACATCTTATGGGCATCTGCAGGGGTTTGCTCCTCAGCTCTGGTCCTGTTGCTCCTGCTAGCTCAGCCCTGCTTCTGGTAGCGGCAGCAGGACCCCTGGTGCAGATACAGCTCCAAAGGACCCGTGTTACTGCAAGGCCTCTGCTTTCCCAGGGCAGCCCTGTGAACCGCTGCGCTTGAAACGCCGAGGGCTGCCAGCTCCGTGTCCAGCAAGGGCTCACASTTGTGGGAAATAAGTGTGAGGCAGATGAGACCGAGGCTTCCAGTGGAGGGATCATACACTGGAACGGTCCAGCAAAAACACTGATACACGGATTTTCTCATCTCTCTCCTATCCACAATCCAAACAACCTGATAAGAAATGCCAGCTTTTCTTTGCTTGTAATAGCTGAGAATAAAGATCATGGAAACAGTTGCTCTTTGYATTTTACTTCTGCGCTTGCATAAATTACTATTTCTCTGGTTGTTTAATTAACAATTTTGACATTTAAAAATAACATGCGGCTCACATATGACACCTTTTAACACATGCAAAATAAGGCRGCTGGTTAGTCACTGAATAAGCTAGGAATTTCTGAGGAATATTAGATGGTTCTGACAACAGAGGTTGCTCAGGTGATAGTTCAGTSCGATCTGGTTTTCTTTCACTTCCTTATTTTATGTAGCCAACTAGAACAGATGGAGCAATTAGAGGATGTGGAAGTGTCCTTACTAGATAGGGGAGCAAACCAAGCTCATTACAGTGCTCCCAGCTGTATGAAAAAGTTATAAGCTTTGGGAACAAGATTTAGAAATAATTTGAAATAAATTTTAATATGGGATATATAGGCTAAGACATGCTTATGAACCACAGCTGCTGTTGAGATGGTGTTTTCTCAAAGAAATTATTTGTTTCACCTTTACTGAAAGAGAGCAGCAGTTCCTTTCACCGAGCCACTGTCCAGCTCGTGTTGGGACTGGAGCTGGAAGAAAGTTGTGCCCAAGTTCTCCATCGCTGGAAAACACACAAGATTTTGTCCAAAATTAGCAAGTACAATATAGGAGGTAAGTGTTCCCAGAGTCTCCTACACAATTTTTAACTTTCTCCTGGCTTTTTGGTGTTGCAAACATTTGCAGTCCCTTGTGAAGGTTCTTCTCTGAAGACCTAGAGCATYTAATAGGAATGGGTAGGTCAGCCAAAGCAGCCCCTTTTTATTGAGGGGGCAAAATTACACATGCAATTCCGTGATCCTTGAGCT